GAAGACAAACTTCCAGACCTTGAGATCATAGGAAAATAATCAGAAAGATAATATAAATAAGTAAATATGAAATGATTAAAGAAGCATAAACAATGGAGGAAAAAACCCTACAAAAAAGACAAAAAAACCCCCTCAAAACAGACTTAGACTCTGAACTTCTAGTAATTAAAATAGTCATCGAAATTTAAGAAATCATTAGCATTTATTGAATTATTATTAAGCAATGGTAAGTATGTTATGTACATTAAATCATTTAATTATCATAAGATCCTAAGATCACTTCCACTTTAGGATGAGAAAACTGCGATTAAAAATTAAAAAGCTGGTACTTAATAGACAAAGGCTTATTTATAGCCCATGTCAAATGGTTTCAGAGTTGTCTTTTGTCATTGGAAGTTACAGAACATTGGAATATCTACTGAAAATTACAAACAGCAGAAGGGAGAATGAAAAATGGAAAGATGATGGCAGATGTTTCTTCGAATGCAGGTGGAAGGAAGCAGTACCTAGACCAAAGCTCCATGTGTTACAACTTGGTCTCAAGGCCAACTGGTGCTGTGTCTCATGGGGAGTCTGCGTAACCCTGACACTTCAGGACAATTGTTCTGTGGGGAGAAGAGAAGTTTATCCAGTGGCTCCCAACTCCCACTGGTTAAAGATTTGCTCCACAGGTGGCAATGCCCTATACCTCTGGGGGTAATAAGAAGCCGTGGGATGGAATCTAGGCTGTGCCTGTGTAAAGTCTGTGGCTAAACAGGCAGCCGGGGAGGTAAGCACCCATGGCCCTGGAGCAAAGTGAGGCCAGGCGGAGCTGAGTAGCAGAAGAGAGGTATCTGACAGAAGAAGTTAGGAGAACTGGAGGAAAACACGAGAAGGTCCAGGATGCGGCCTACCAATGCCAGGAGCAGAGTCGGAAAGGAAAACCATAGAAAAGGAATGTCTGAGACTTGTCAAGATTTGATAAAAATTATAGAATCTCAAATTAAATATCCACTGAGTAGGGTATATTAAAAAACACATGTGCACATACATTATAATGTCAATAACATGATCAAAACTCTTGCTTTAGTTGATAAACTTAGAAATCTTTGAAGTCTCTACCACAATTCAATAAAAAAAACTAGAAAATCTCCACGTTAGGCTATTTAAAAAAATAAACATTTAAATAACACATAGGAAAAGAATTCAATTTGAAAAGATTTTAAACTTAATGATATTAAAACAATGTTTACTAAAATGTGCGTAGTGCAGCTTCAGCAGAATTTTGGAGGAAATTTTTTAGCCTTAAATGCATTTCGGCTCTTCAAAGTTGCTTGATTAAAGTCAAAATACAAAATTCAACTGTGTTTCACTGTATCCATAATAGACTCTTAAATATTACAAAAGATGCCATCTACAGTGACACGAAAAATACTCAGTACTTGGAAATTAAAGAAATAGAAAGTACTAAAACACTGTAAGAAATTAAAGCCTAAAAAACAGACTTGTATATGAAAACAAATAACTGAAATATGAATGGGTGCTTGGTACACATTTGCAGATGTAACACTACAAAACAGTGGGAGTGAAAAAAGTGGAATATTCAATAAATAATGTTTTATATACTGTTTTTCCTAAATGGAAAGATGTGAGAGCTAACAGGTTAAGCTTAATCATACTTGCTCATTCTCGGAGATAGATACGCTGGTGTCTGATACATCATTTCTTGTTTGTTTGAAATGTTTCCTAATTCAACTTAAGTCTTTACATTTAAAAGCAAAATCTGTTGAGAAAACATCGCCCCTAAAAGCAGCTCTTATTCAGCTCCTGGTATTTTGCTTGCCATATTCTTGCCTTGTCTAGAATTTTAGGGCAGAAAAGAGGAAGGACAAACCATGTCGCCTCAAACCGTGCCCCTCGCCTTCCCCAGGTATGAGAGAAGGCACGCTCTCTAGCTCCGCCCCCAGACCTGCTGTCTGCGGCCACAGGCCACCACGCGGTTCCTCCGGGTTTCAAGTTGGGGAGTAGCTGGGTCTGGGAACAGCTATGAACCTGGGGAGGCTGCCAAACGGCAGGCAGGCCCGGGGCTGGCTGCCTGCAGAAGGGGACTTCACTCCCGGAGCCTCAGAACAAATTGTGGGGGTGGACAGGTCCTCCAGCCTGCCTGCGCTGTGACTGTGGGGTCACCACCCCTACTGCTTTCCCCTGTTGAGAAATGCTACAGTAAAACTGCAGCAACTTAGAGCAAAATATACCCTTAACTAGTGCAGCACAAAGATGGTAAATATCATGGTCCAAATGCTAAGGTTCGCTCTCACTTAGAAAGTGTATTCTTTGGGGCTTTACAGAAAACTGAGTTTGGTCAAGTTTTGACCTCTCTGCTAACCTCTAGAATTTGAGGGATTTCTGATGGAAACTGGATTCCTAGCTTCTCTCCTGAAAAAGCAGGGATTCTGGCATTCCTGAGCCTGAATTCTAGAGCACCAGGAACCGGTCACTCCCGAAGGCTGACCTCCCGCGCCCCCGCCCCCGCCGTGGCCTCACTCATTACCAACCTGTTGCCTCCGCCCAGGGGTTTCAATTCCCTCATTTTACAGAAGAGGAAACTAAAGCTCAGAGAGGTCAAGTGCCTTGGCTAATGTCAGAGTTGCCCCGTGGCGGGGGCCATGGTAGCAGCAGGCTGGCCAGTTATCCGTTAGCTTATGATTCCTTTTTTCCGTATGATGAAGGCACGTTTCATGGTTTCTAACAACACGGTCCGTGTAAGTCAGCAGGTGCACTGGAAATGATCATTCTTGTAAGTGTTTAACGAAGACCAACTTCAAGCAACAATAAAAATAATATAAATGGATTCATTATAATATAAACCAAAAGTCACCAAGACTTAGCCAAACTCAAAGCAGAAAATTTAACATGTAAAAACATCATAAGAGAATATGACAATATAATTGAAGAGTTGCTATTAATTGAAGGTTGCATACTCACAGAGCACCACTTTTTCTGGCTGATCTTTATACACATGTAATTCCTCATGTCTTTCTCCGCCCCTCCCTAATTCCTCCTCTTTTTTTGGAGTCTAGAAAGATGTGCAAACTCTGCTCTGGAACGCTTCCCCAGGCCTCCTCACAGCAGATACCTCCTTTAGGATTTTTGCTTGTTGGATTTATTTACTCTTGGATTAAAGCTGGTAGACAATCTACACTGACTTGGATGAGTTTCATCCATTATCCCAAAAAGTACTGAGCTACCTGGGTTGTACATTCCTAGACTATGGAAGTGCATTGGTTAGAACCAGCTCCATGAAGGGTTTCCATGGATTACAAAACCCTGTAGAAGGTAAAATGCAAAATAGCCTAAATGTAAATCTATAGGAGAAAAGCCCAGTAACTTTGGTGTATTTATATTATGGAAAGCTATGCAAGGGGGCAACAAAGAAAAAGAGCCAGATCTGTCTTAAATACTGACATGGACAGATCTCTAGATTACAAAAAGGATATTTATATATAATATATAGAATACATATACATATAAAATCAGTTGTATCATTTATGTTAAAAAACACAGATGGGGAAGGGGGTATTAGGGGACTAAATTGTAATGGAAAACTACAATAAAGATTAAATTAAAAAACACAAACAGAAACATATTATTTGTGCGTCCACGTATGTGCATAAATGCATAGGAAACGTATGGAAAGAAATGTGAAGTGGTAAGAGTGGACCCCTTGTTTAGGCAGCAGAGGGGGAGAGGTATGGAGGTGATCAAAGGGCATTTTAGCTTTATCTGTAACATTTTGATTTAAATTATTTTTAAATTTATTTTATTCTTAAATTTTATTTTGCAATTACAGTTTCCATTCAACATTACTTTGTATTTATTTCAGGTGTACAGAACTGTGATTAGACAACTGCATATGTTACAAAGTGTTCCCCCCAATGCTCAAGTACCCACCTGGCACCATACTTGGTTATTATGATATTGTTGACTATATTAATTTATGTGGAGAGGACTTGGATGACATGTGGCCAAGGGTTGTAAAAACTTTTCATGTACGCATGCAACTATTGATTTCCAATCATAATCTGTCATGAAATTTGCAAAACATCTTTTCATCCTTGAAAATGAAACGTAACTGTGTTACCACGCCAAATTAATTATTTTCCAAATTAAATACCTAAATGTAAAAAAATCACAGAAAAAATCTGAAAAGTTAAATTTTATTTTCACCAGTTAAAATTAAGTACCTCAACTCCAGGAGTCATGAGAGCTTTGAGGATGCCTAATTCATCTTTAGTTGAAAAGTCTAAGAAATATGGGGTGAATTTAAATGAATAGGCGATCTCTCAAATTCTTAATAGAAATGAGAGTGACGGATTGCTTAATTTATACTCAAGTGAGTTCTGTTTCTAAGGTGATGGTGCCGACTCAGGGATGGCTTGCTTTTCCCAGTGACGGGGGCTCCACACTGGAGGGCAAGTTTTGATGAGGAGAAAACCGAGCCTTAGGGAGGTCACAGGGATCAGTGCAAAGGTGACATCTAGGAAGTGGCAGGGCCAGGACTCTTGCTCGGGGTTTCTACTACCAGCCCTCATGTGCTCTCTGCCAGGACATGCCACCCGTTCTGATTCACCAACGTGGGTGCCCTCGCATCTCTCCATATCCGGTGTTACCACGTATTCATCCCCAGCGATTGATTATCTATCTATCTATCTATCTATCTATCTATCTATCTATCTATCTATCTATCTATCATTAATCATCTATCTATCTTTGGAGGCCTTTCCTTCCCATCCCTGGCCCTTACATGACAGTACAAGTTTCCTCCTTGCCTCTCCCTCTAGCCCGGCGCAGTCCACCTGTTCCCCAGGCATCCTCGCTTGCTCGCGTCCCCACGCTGCCGGCCTAGTGACCTGCGTGGAGCCTGCGGCCGCCACACCCTCCCGGCAGGGTCTCCAGGACCGCACCCCGCGGGGTGGGGGTTGAACTGCACGGGCGTGGGAGCGGAAACGCCCCGCACTCACCTTGCCCACGGCGGGCACGGCCGCCAAAAGCACCAGCAAAAGCACCAGCAAAAGAGGCAGCAGAAGCGCGGGCAGCCTCCGCCCCGTCCGGAGGCACACGGTGGGTGCCCACTGAGAGTACCGGAGTGTCCCGGGCTCCGCAGGCGCCCCGGCCATCGCGTCCCTGGCTTGGCTCGGATTGGAGAGCCCGGCTGTGAAGCTCGGCTCGCCAGCCGGCCCCGGGCGGATTTTGTAGGGCTCAGCCGCGCTGTCCGGCCCTCCCCACCGAGGCTTTTTGACTGTGGCTCCAAGGGAGGGAAGAAGTGGCTCAGGTCCCGCCCTCGTCCCACCTCCCCTTCAACTCACCAGGCAGTGTCCCTCCGACCTGGGCGTCGTGCCCGGGAGGCAAGAAAGGGCTGCGCGCCTGCGGGGCAGGTGGGCGAGGGAGGATCCAGGGTTAAGGGTTAAGGAAGTGATGCTCCCAAGGTCTTGGAGCCGAGGCAGAGCAGGGGGGCTGCGGGTCGGAGGTGGAGGATTTTGGGGGTGTGCAGTGGGGAGGCGGCTGAACAGAGTGGAGGGAGTGGCCAGCGGCCGTGCCCAGATTAAGTGGGAGGCGCGCCGGGCGTCGGCACTCCGACGGCCCGCTGGCTCCGGCTCACGGCGGTGCCATCTCGCTGCTTTCCCTTTCTGAAACCCGCCTCCAGCTTGCCGCCGCCGAGCTCGGCCGCGAGGGCGTGGTGAAGAGGCAGCTGAGTCGCTCCTGGATCTGGGCGCGGCAGAGCCGGGAGGTGCGCGCCCCGCGGGCTGGCGATGAGGCGGCTCGAGGCGCTGCGGGCGGCCCCCGGAGGTAAGGGGCGATCGTCGCCCTAGAGCCTGGGGCACCTGCCGGTGGGGGGCAGTGGAGGAAGCCGGGCATCTCAGGTGGGGCGCGCGGGGTGGCGGGTGGGGCTGGGGAGCTGGGGCTTCGGGTCACCAGAGGAGAACGTGTCTGGCTCCCGAGCTTGTCTGCCTGGGCTTGATCTGGGCGCTGTGTTTTGATTAATTTGGAGGCTCAAGTTACCACCAACCTGGCAGTCTGGGCACTGCGACATGCCAAGAGCAAAAGGCAGCTGAGGGGAAAGAGAATGCCCATCCTATTCTCTGCTGCGTTGAACTGGCTTTTCAGGCTAGATCTTATCTGCGGAAATGCAGGGGAAACCGAGAGCCAACCTTGTCCGGGGTGTCTCCCTCCTGAGAGTGCCCTTCGTGGAGGTGGCCCTGGATGCAAAGGCGCAGTTACCTGGCTTGTCAGGGTCCCTTTTTCAAAGCAGGGCTGGTGCCCCTTCTTGCACCAGTTGACCATATTGGCTCTGGGGATGCATTGAGACCCTTCTCAGAAAAATGCTATTGAATCCATAAAATACAACGAAGTCAGAATTAGTTGTACTAGAATACAATTACCAAAATGTTCAAGTCAAGATACAGCAGTGCATCATCAATATTGCATGAAATACCTAGGTCTAACAACAGGTCCATGAGAATAACTTTAATCTCAAAGTAGCGCGGACTGCAAAACTGAAAGGGGACATGAAAATACCAGTGGCACCAACTCTCAGGAGCTGCCAGGACTATTGTGGTTTGTTGCCTGTATTCTTAACTGAAGGAAGTGCTGAACTTCCGGGAAAGTGAGTGAAGCTGGAGGTGTAACTTTGGCTCCCATCCCAGCTCACAGACCACCTGAGTTCCTCTCGGGGTTAAGACCCCCTGCTTGTGAGCAGTGCTGCCCACATCTGCAGTAGCTGGACATCAAACAGCAAGTGTGAGATATGCGATGCGGTTGCTGATTGAGGAAAACCACTTGCTTGCGATTAAAACGGGGTCTATCAGTGTATTAGACCTATGTTAAGTGGGCAAAAGCCTGGCAGTGGATGAATGAAGCCATGCCCCCTTTTTTTTTGGCTGCAGAGTGAATATTATAGTTTTCCCTCTGTTTTTTATGCCTGTGATTGTCAACTGTGGTTGTGCATTAGAATCTCTTAGGGATCCTCTAAAAATCTTGATACCTACTTCATCCGAAGCCAATTATTCGAGACTGTCCAGCGGTGGGACTCAAGTATGTTTGTTTTAACACTCCCTGGAGATTCCTCTGAACAACCAAGAGTGAGAGCCACTGTTTTACCAGCCGAGTTCAGTTAGGTTAGCTGCATTGAATCAGGGCCTCTTCTTAGAAGAGTAAGAAAGTGGACTTTTATTATTAAATCTTTATTAGGATTTATTGTATTATTAGAAGTATAATAAAATCAAATATTACTATATATTAAGATTATATATTAAAAAATATAGTAAATTCCTTAATAGGACTTACGTGTGCCCGGGCTACTGATGTCACAGGGTGGTGTGTGCTAGCATCTTCCTATTGACAGGGATGCTCTTGTGGAACATCCTCCTGCCACCCTGGTGAGATAGGACATCAGCTGCCACGCTGATGAAATAACAGTGTCCAAGAATTCTGAGTGGCATGTGAAAGCCTTGCGTGAAACGACATTACTTCCGGGGGGGGGGGGGGGAATCCCTCAAAGTGAGTGTTAAATGCTGCTTCTTTTTGCTGAATTCCAGATTTCTCAATTTGGTCCTTAATTGCTTTTCCCTGAAACCAAGTCATTTTAATGGAAGACCAGGCTTGGTTTTATCATCCCTGGAATGGGAAGGGCAGTCAACTGTAAGTCACCTCTGATGCCACAACAGAGCAGGAGGGAAGCTTGTGATGTAAATACAGTGAGGAGGAAGCCTTGGTTAAGACCTTAGTCTCTGCAATAGACTCTGGATTCTGAATTGTTCCATACTTAATAGTGTGACCTAGTCTCTCTGGGCTGGGGTCTTCTCTTCCGCACAGTGGACATAATTATGGCACAACCCATGTCAAGGAATTGTAGGAAGAGAATGCGGTGAACCAGTAGAAGCCCTTTGTCCATGGTCTTCACAAGAAAACCAATAGTAGAATTTGATCCTCCAGTTGCATAAAGGAAAATAAGGTGGATGAGAAAAGGTGGATGAGAAATACAAGACAGAGATGCTCTTCCCAGCTCCATAGCGAAGAATCAAGCACACCTCATCCTCTCCCTTGAGGTCAATGAACTATTAAGGCATCTAGAACTTGCTTCTTGGCATTTCTGGGAGCAGCAGCTCGGCATCCTGGAGAGCTGGTTAGAAATGCAGACTCTTGCGCCCCACCCAAGACCCACTGAATCAGAGTCTACATTCGCCGAGATATCCAGATGACTCAGCAGCACATTCGACTTTGAGAAGTGGCTTGTCTAAAAGCCAGACTTATCCACCCATCCCTCACCTTCCCACCTTGTACATACACCCTCCTTTAGCACAGTGTTTGGTATGCTCATGAGGTGGCATTAGCCAGGATTATTGATTTTTAAAAAATAGTCATGGGGTCAAGAGACTTGATTTCTTGCAGTTGGTTCTTTAAAGGTGATGAAGCAAGGGAAATGGGGTCGGTTCTTTTTGTGTGTACAAAGGAAACAGATCTGTACTTTGGTTCCAGATAAGAGTTTTCAAGAAAATGCAGTGGTCATTGCCTTTGAAAAGCCTTGTGTTATTACTCTCGCCCCCTTTTTATCACCACAATATCATGTTTGTTTTCTGCACAGTGCTAAAATATGTAGAGCTGGTTTCTCTGTATTTGAATGTGAGCCCCATTAGGGCAGAGGCATTGTTGATGTTCTATTATTGAGTGAATGAATGAAGTTGTTTACTATTTGATGAGCGAATGGAGTTGGGTGACTTGTCAAGTTCACTGAGGATTCACACCCTGGTCTGCTTTCTTCCAAAGGTCATGATCTTTCAAAAGACTTTGTTGCATAGTGATATACCTCTGCTTTTGATGAGTTGCTCTTCGCCAGGCTTCCTGTAGCCTCTTCTTTAAACTTTTTCAAAGGTTAAATTTAATCTAATTAATTTTTAAATTAATCCTGTTTTACTTCATCTCCCCACTTAGTCATTCCTCTTCTTTCAAGAACATTTTCTTTTCAACACCTCTGGAAGAGTTGACTCCTAGGTTCTTTTAGAACCTCGGTCATTATCACACATGTCAGTTCTTGCCATCACATCTCTGGATTCTTTCACTGCTTTTCTAGGCTCACGGCCCTCCCTCGGTGCCTGCGCTGATCATCTGTGGGTTCCAGTAACCTCCCTTGCAAGTTCCCTCCTGTGAAATCCACCTTCGATGTTATTGTCAGAGTTCCACTTAAAATTGCACATTGTATCAGGAAGGTTAGATTGCTTTTGGGGCAGTTGCAAACAATTCCAAAATTTTAGAGGCTTACAGTAGCAAGACTTTTTTTGGTTCATTTACACTACATTCGCATCACAGGATGTAGGGAAGTGGAAAAGCGGGGTGGGGGGGCGGTCTGCTTATTACAGCCTCTTAGGAACCTCCTGGAAATCCCCACTCAACACGTTCTTCCCTAATCACCTCAGAGGAGGGAGAGAATGTGGTAAACCAAACACCGCTCGAAAAGCTTCCGTGTGGATGTGATGCATACTACTTCCACTCGCATTTCCTTGGCCGAAGCAGTCATGTGACCATGCATCATTTTTGTAAGTGGTGGGGAAATGAAATCTATCCCACGCCTGGAAAGAGAGCTGGAAATATTTGGTGACTGTTAGTGATGCCCATTATGTTCTTGCTTATTTTAAAGCTTGTGGAAGTTTTCTTTGCCTTTACAGCTATTTTTTATACTTCATAGAATAGGGTGGTCCAAAATCAACTTTTAAAATATGTCCTGGGTCATCCCATACTTCTCAGGTTCACTCGTGTCTTTGTGCTTGTTCTTCCCTCTACTTCAGGAACCGCCCCCATAGTCTGTCAGGTGCAGTTAATTGAGTTTTCAGATCTAGGTCAAAGGTCAGCCCTGACTGGTGTGGCTCCGTGAACTGAGTGTCTGGCTTGAAAAACCCAAAGGTCACTGGTTCATTTCCCAGGCAGGGCACATGCTTGGGATGCGGGCTAGGTCCCCAGTTGGGGACATGTGAGAGGGAACTTATTGATATTTCTCTCCCTCTTTTTCTCCTTCCCTCCCCTCTTTGTAGAAACAAATAACATCTTAAAAAAATTGTTTAAAAAGGTTTGGGAGCTTTTTTTGTCTTTACGATGAATTAGAAAGGAAGTAAATAAATATTCATTGAGCTGCTCCCTCAGGGCAAGCACTGTACTAGGCAACAATGAGAATTAGATTCATGCACTTCCCTCAGGTATTAATT